CAATATTCTATCAACAAAAAAAATTTTCTGTATTTTTGGATGATGGCCAGCGCACACACTGAACGAAATACAATGAAAGTATCGCTCATGTGCAGCCCCAGCAAACACATTTTCTCAAGATTTCTTGTAGGTGTCTTGTAGAATTCTAATGTCCATCAGAAAAATATCTTTAGGGAATTTCACCCCAAAAACTCCCCAAAGATGTCTTTCAGATGGACATTAGAAGTTTACAAGACTTGTTCAAGAAATCTTGAGAAAATGTGTTTGCTGGGGCGTTCAAAAAATACGTGCAGCGGCACCTAGTTTCGTCGTCTCGAAGCAAGAACGTGTCTCTCCTTCACATGAGATAAATCAGTACTCTGATTTATCATTCCATGTACACTTGTCATCAATAACAATTCAAATGATAATTTATCGACGTTGATTCAGAGTACAATTATTTGTTTGTTATCAACTTTTAAAACTTGGAAAATTGTGATTAATGTCAACTTTTTGGCTTTTTTAGAAATATAATAGTATACACTTGTTCACACTCGTAAGAGCTTGGTTGTTTAAAAATTTAAAATTGAATGGTTAATGAAACAAAAAAAAAATTTTTTATAAACACAAATGGAATGAAAAATATTTTAAAAAATATAAAAGTGTTTGAAACAATCCTCAAATTATCTCAGTGTACCATGTAATGTAAGCCTATAAAGAAAACATGATTACACGACACGCACCAACGCACGACACAGTCCAGAGCTCGCCTCATCCTGTCTTTCTCAGCATATTTAAGTTTTAAGCAGCAAATAAAAAACGAGTCGTTTGATAAGACGCTACTTGCTACCATCAGCTACCGTTCAACGAATAAAAAAAAAACATACATCACGGAGTGGTTTTGTAACTCGGGTAATTAAATTTTTTTTTTTTTTTTTAAGCAACTATGGTAAGCATTGTAAGGAAGTGCATAGGAAGAAAATCTTTTTTTTAATATTAATGATTATTTCTAGTTACAAACAGATGGCTATATTTTTTTAAAAGACTATTCGTTCCCACGATGAGACACACGCATATTTATTACAAGGACTAATTTGTCCATCAATAGGTCCAAAATTTTAATTACAATAACATTCACGATGTTGTATTTTGCGATAATCGTATTTTTCAAAGGTAAGTATACTTCGTACACGATACTGTTACTCAAGGTGTTGAATAAAAAAGTGAAGTTCAATGTAAAAAGCTCTACAAATTTTATATTTAACATTTTGTTTCAAACTTACAATAATTTCTATAGCTGGATTTTACTCGTGAAATTCACAAAAAAAAAAGCCTCGTAAAAATAAAAAAAAAACCAAGATAGTGCATGTTACGATCGTGCCTCAATGCGCACAATTAATCCTCTGTTACGCGTATATAAGTACCGAGATGGGGATTCAAAGAGCAAAACATAAAATCTAGAACATAAAAAACTGCAGCAAAAGGAGACCCGACGATGGAAGTTTCTTTCCCCGAAAAAGCCAAGATTTTCCAAAAAGTCCATCCGCACCGTCATACACACGGTGTCGAATATCATAACGAGTCAGATAATGGGTCGGCGCGTCGCCGCTTCGTAAAGCTGTGATGCAAAGGTCTCTGGAAAATGTAAGAGCGGCGACTGAATAATGGCACACGGGAGGGCCAGCAGCGGCAAATTCGTCGGCGTCTAGACAGCCAGATCCATGCGCGCAATTGTCTGGGGGCAGTAAAAATAAAAAAAATAAAAGAGGATGGAAGTGACCGAGCTTTTTTAAAGTTATTGCAACCATGCACGGCGCGCCCTGTCGTCACGAGCCTCGATACTTCCGGAAGCTCGGGCCCGTCTCACTTTCGGACGACGGCTAGGATGTGACATAGCGGGGTAAATTGCAAAAATCAATGACACAGATTTTTTATGGTTATATTATCAGTTATACCCGCTCGATTTACCGAGTTTTTGTTAAAAGCCCGTCGTCTCAACAGTTCGATCAAAACGGGCTTTTGGTTGCATTTGTATGATTGCCTTTTTATTTAATGGGTACAGGTATGCGTTTTTTTTTTTTAAATTGTTTGTGGCAATGGTATGGTGCATCGGTAACTCGAAAAAAATTTCCGGGCCAGGAGGGCACTTGGTGCTTGGCGTAGTCGACAATAAAGAGTGTGTCAGGAAGTCGGAGCGACTTGGACAGGCAGCTTTGGCGTCGGCTTTGGCGTAACATTTCATGATGCACCTACACGTAACTTGCTCGCGGTGCACGTACGGTGTTGTGGAAAAAGTCGAGAATATGAGGAGATATGAGACGGGTGGTGGTGCCATGCGACGTCTACGTGGGCGGCAGGGGCGCGCGCGTACACGGGCTGGTGGTACACACGCATTACAAGCCGAGCAAGGCGTGGGGCTGTAACGCGCGCGGGGTATACGTCGCCGACACGACATGGCCCAGAGCAAGCGTCCGCGCTGTGTGTTTGGACGGGAGGCCACAATGGGCCCCTTTTATGCGGGGCGCACCGAGGCCGACAGGCGCCGCCGTCGAGCAACTGGACACCACATTGCTCCTTCCCTCTCGCCTCCGATACTTTCTTTCTTTTCTTTTTGCGCCTATACCTACTTACGGCTAGCTCTCGATCGCGCCCCACTTGTATTCCATAATTTTCCCTTTTTTTTTTTTTTTTTTTTTTTTTCAAATTACTGGCTATTCGATCGAGTGGTCAGCTGTGCGTTTTGCGTTAATTAGTCAACGAGATTGTACGTTCAGGAGTGTGAGTTTTAACGTCTTCAATATTGATAAATGCATAGTCATGAAAAAAAAAAGCTTGAAAATTGATCAGCAATAAATTGTGCACTCACACAAAATTTGGTTCATGGATTACCCATCATCGATGCTCGAGTTATTTTGATCTAAAACAGTGTGAGAAACTCACGTTAAGGGTGAACCTTTTTTTTTCGATCCTTAGGATATCAGATCCTTGTGATCCCTGCGCTCGCATTGCATCAGTATACCTATATGTATAAAGAAATGGCAATAAAAATAGTTGACAATATCCGGGCATTTTGGCAGTTTTGTTTCAACGCCACGACTTTGACACCCCGGCGTCTTTCCCACAGTTAAGACGGCGCCCCGTTATCTGTTGGCGCCTACCCTACGTCGCACCCTTAGATAATTCTACTCGTAATTATCCCACTTACTAGAAGAGGAGCGGGATGCAATTGAATTTGAATAATTTTTATTTTGGAGCAATAATTATCTGGTTGGCGTTAAAAACTGCCAACGATTTCAAGAATTTATGATGATGGTTAATTGCATGAATTCTCATGTTAATTGTTTGAGCTTTCAAAAACATCATTCGTCGTAAACATACTATTATCGGTAGGAAATATATAATTCCCGTGGTACAATTTAGCGTCAGTAAGTGAGCAATAAAAAGTTTGACGAGTCCAATTTTTTGCCGATGTATTAATAAGCCATGATTTCTGTGTACCACCACGAGCCGGTGGCTGTACAAGCGGTGCGTTGCTCTGTCAAGGGTTTAGAATGCCAATGGCCGCGTCTGGATTATGTTAGCCCGAAGAAAAAGGAACGCGACTAGCCGCCTCCGTAGAGCTTAAACTGTGATGGGAAAATTTTTATTTCTCGTTTGCCTTTTTTTTTTCTTCCGATCGGTTCAACGTATCGGGGTACATGCCTTATCAATATTTTATACACTAAATTGTTCTGTCGGTACTTGTTTTTTTTTTCTTTCTTGTTTTGCGGATAATTTTTAATTTTTTTCAATTCAGTATGATTTTTTTTTTTTTTTTAAATTGTTAATTTTATAAAAAGTAAGTGTACCTTAATATGTATTTTTGGTATTGATCATAGAAAGTGATACTAATGGTTTGTTTATGAACCAAATGGAACGAATAAATAAGTATAATCTCTATGTGTAACAATTATTATAAAAAATTTAAAAAAAAAAGTTGTTATTGCATATGAGTGGTTAGTCCAGTTGCTAAATGTAGATTGGCTCCACGGATCGGGAGTAGGCGGAACCGAGTCTCACAATCTCCGCCCCGTGATGATTTAAAACCATGGCTGTCTCGATAAATATTGCGCGTGGATGGTTAAAATGTCAAATTGCTTGAGATCAGACTTGATCAAGTCCCTACAACATTGGAGTTTGATCATTTTGTTAAACCTAATTTTTAATAAAAATTGTCAATGAAAAAAAAAATGTAATTTTCCCTAATGTTTCGTGTAGGATTTACTTGGTGCCAATATCAGCTTAAGCCAAGAGAAAAGATTAGGATTGCAACTATTTATATTTACAGAGAGAACAAAAGAAGCTTCCTCTTCGGCTGCCGTGAGTGAACCGAATGTGTTGTGCAGAACACCTGGCTTATAAATTTTTGGGGGACCAAAAGGAGTAAAATTTTGCTTTTGCCAACTATTAGCTGTAAACGCGTTATTTTGATGTCTCTGGATAAACAGTGCTTCAATGGTGCAGAGACCGAGGAGGAGGGATGAAGACGCGTCCGCGTGTGTGCCGTCAATTGGTACACGAGTCGGCTCGAGCGTGTCAGCGAGGAAAGCCGCGCCAGTGATTGAACAACAACTAGCAACAGGCGCGTGTGAGCGCAGGATCTTGTTCGGTGTGAGCCCGCAGAACCGACACTTGACTCGACGAGCAAACCCAACCGAGCCGTGCATGCCAAGACACACTACACAGCCACCCTCCGAACCAACAACTCGTGCGTGTGGCTGCTCCTACCCTTGTGTTCTCTGCCTCCCTCGGTTTCACCTGTCACCTCGTGCGCGATCCCAAATCGACAATTGAAAGTGCTTTCTTTGCGGTCGGTCGCAAAACAGGTGAATTTCCCACCTATACGGTGTCTGTGCTTTCTACAAAAACAGGTTTTTTTTTTTTTTTTTTTTTTTTGTTGTTTTTTTTTTGTGGTGAGTGTGCCAATGATAAACCAAAATATACACGACGTAACACCGGCTGGACCGAAGATGCGCTAAAAAATGTTGCTGGCCAACGCAGCGTCCGCAACGCCGTTCGGTGTCCGGGACATACTTAGCGCGGAGCAACAAATTGAAATGGATTGCTATCACCACCACCAGCACGAGCACCAGCATCATCATCATCAAACGACCTTACCGATGCTCCCGTCCACAAACGAGCAAATCCCCCACGCGGACTACTACGGGTACGGCATGATTCCGGAAAACAGCTGGGACCTCCAGGACAAGCTCAAGGAGCAGAGTGGCGCCGGGGTCGGTTGCTACCAGGGCTACGGGCCGATGAGCCACGTCCAGCAGCTCAGCCAGGTCGCGCCGCCCTACCAGGAAAACAACCCCTCGGCCGTCGTCGAGGACGGTAATTATACATGCCGATGCTTCGTCGCGTTAAAACTAGTAGCGCCGACGTTTGTCCCTCATTGTTATTACCTTATTCGCAGGAAACTTGGTGACTTCGAGTAAAACGGAGCTCAGGAAGAACCAGTCCGGCAAGCGGGTGAAGCGAAAGCCCAGGGTGCTCTTTTCGCAGGTGAGACGACGCATTTAGCTTAAAAATTGGCCTAGTTCGATCAGAGTAATGACGAGCCAAATGCGTTTCAGACCCAAGTGTACGAGCTCGAGCAGAGGTTCAAGCAGCAGAGGTACCTGAGCGCGCCGGAGCGCGAGATGCTGGCCCAGTCGCTGAAGCTGACCAGCACCCAGGTGAAGATCTGGTTCCAGAACCGGCGCTACAAGAACAAGCGGGCCCGCCTCGAGGAGTCGGAGAAGCTCCAGCCGCCGAAGAAGGTCCCGGTGCCCGTCCTCATCCGGGACGGCAAGCCGAACGTCCAGGAGGTCCCGAGCCCGGCCTACTGGCCCTTCCGGCCCGAGTGCGCCAGCAACGCGTCCTCGGAGTACCACATGGCCACCCCCGAGTTCGCGGGCCACCCCGAAGTGGCCGGTAGGTCGAGCCACGGGGCAGTGCCGGCCGTGGAGTACCGCGCGAATTTCGTCCCCAACACCGGCGAGGACAGGGCACCGAAGATCGAGTACAAGGGCCACCAACACTGCGCCGGTGAGCTCGCGCCCTTCCCCGACCCGAAGGGCCTCGAGCCCAGCGTGGACTTTAACTTTGGGAATTACGCCAACGCCAACTCGTACCAGGTGCCCTACTACAACTTCACCGATACCGATCAGAACTTTCAGAGGCTGTGGTGAACGGCTCGTTGATACGCGTTGTGTTTTTCACGGGTCTATAGTATGGGTGATGACCCTCGTTTGCTCTCGTTGTGCGTTGATCACCATACGTCATTTACCTAATGGCTTATGTGTATAAGGTAAGGGGTTTGCACGGATGCCTCAAAAGACAATTGGCCTGGGGTGTATAAGTTGAGCCTACTCGTGTTGGTGCATATTATATTGTTATTCGTAAGACATTTTAATACAGTGTAGTACTTATGGAACCAAAGAATATTTTTACCGTTTCGTGTGGAATAAAGACTATAATGATTTTTCACGATGAGTATATTGCTGAACCTCTTTTTTCATTCAACTCTCTCCCCCCTCGTGCAAAATAACCGCGAAACTTTTTTTTTTCATGCCAAATGGATAAATGAGCAGATGCGTGGGCTTTTTTTACTGAAAAAAAAAAATTTGATTTGTTGCTCGGCTATGGTGATACGGGCCAGAGAGAGGCACTCCAGGGGAAAAACGAGCGGAAACCGCTTCAAGTGCCCTTTACGGAAGTGAACGTTAAAAACAAAGCCAAGCGTACGTTTTCATCCCCGATTTTAAACGCCGCGATCATTTCGGTTATTGTGGCTCGAAGAAACTTTTCCTTGGCAAATGATTCTGATAAAATTGAAAAAAAAAAAGAAAGAAAAAAACTCCGAATGAATAAATAAACAAAAAAAAACATTTAGAGCTTCGATGTAAGAATCGTCACCTCGGGTAGTGGGGGGGTCCGGAGCGAGCGAAAAAATTAATAAGTAAAGTTATAAATAATTTCAAGACCGGGAGCGCCATTAGACGCTATAAATAGCCAAAGCTCCGACAAGTTGAGCAAAGCCACGGAGGCTTTTAGGTTATCTCGAAGCAGCGGGTCATCTGGCAGTCAAGTGTCTACGTATAAAACGTTCGCACGCGCCCCGCGTATACACCGTCTACATTTGTACGCGCGCGGACCCGCGAGGGGAGGGGGATGTTCGGCTGCAGCGTCTTATTACTGCCGGATCAAAACCTCCTTCCCTCTCTGGCGCGATGGCGATACCGGCCTCGTAAAAGACCATGGGAACAAGTTCATAAAACTGTCAAGGTGTCTCGTAACAGCTGGAAATAAATACATCCTTATTACCGCTGATATACCTATACTACCCATCTTATGCGCCCTTTTATAATGCTTCGATCGCCGTTTGATCTTGTATCTGTACGAAACGATGGTTTTTTTTATCGAGACGTTGAAAAAATTACCATTGCGTTGAATTATTGTATTTTGTAAATAGTCCATACAAATTTTTTTTTTTTTTTTTTTTAATGCATACGGAATTTTATAGGTGCGTCGTAATCAATCACGTCGTAACGTATGTCGCGTTGGTATTTGATTTCGTCTAATGAGAGAAAAGTGCGTTTACACAGTCATTAGAGAGAGAGAGAGAGAGAGCTGTAGCGTATGTTTATTACATCGTATATCATTCGCATTTATATTTGAGCTTGTACTTAATTAATGGTCAGCTTTATTTTTTGCTTTTTCTCGTTGACGTTTGTATTAATAATAAATAAAATTTTTTTATAAATATAATGCGATCAATGTTTTACGTGGTCCGAATTACACCTTCTCTGTGTTATAATAGTTACTTGAAATATCAACTGAAAACAATTTTTTGATTAAAATTTCACGTTGATTAAACATTTTATATTATTTGTGAGGTAATAATTCTTTTAGCAAATCATGTGTTTAAAATAAAAATAATAACTTATTATATTACTTGATGGAGATATTTTTTTTCTTAACTATCCTTTTTTATATTATTAAAAAATATTAGAACTACAGTTTTCATGTATGTAAATGGACATTGATATGGAATTTTTAGTAAATGTTAAATTTTTACAACATAATTTATTTGATTCCAGTGACTATATATACTATATTCATTCATCAATTAATTAAAAATAACAAATTCTTTGGTATTAATATTTTTTAAAGTTAACATTTATCGACTGCCATCAACTGAGACTATCACAGGATCATGTGTAGCTATAAGGCAAGGGACCTTCAGATGGGTAGGTTTGCTTATATCGACCGAAGATAACGTCAAGGTAAAAAGTCATCTCTTGCACTCATGATAATTTATCTCGTAGTTAGTGAGTATCGACTATATAAGTATACTGACTTGAATTCATATTGTGTGAGTTTTATGTGAACTTTCACTGAAAAAAAAAAGACTCCAGAATAAGTGATTGGCGTACAGAGTTTGACATACCGTGCAGATCCTATATACGTACGTTTTACGTGGTTTAAAAAACACACATCATAACTCACTTAAATGTATGCACGTTTCATTCATCATTCGCTTGATCATTGATAGTAAATAATTATTTATTTCGATGGATTTAGTTTCGAACGTGCGTTAAGTACGCCTTTCTGCAAAAACATGAAACGTTGAAGCATAAAAAAAGCGCGGCCGGCAAAAATGAAAAAGCGAAATCAAAGAACTGAATGAACGAGAAAAGGTGTAGGAAGAAAGAGCCGAAGGAGTAAATGCACGCAGTGTATGGGCACTGCATGTACACCAAGCACTAATATTACATCTTTGGACTGACAGACGTGTGGACTTTAAAAGCCAAGACTAACAAACACACCAGCAGTCATCCGGTCTTCTTGTTTTTATGTTCTTCCGCGGGTAGTAGCGCGCGTGTGTGCTATACCGGCTCTCCTTCTCTCTGATAAACTCACTTCTCGTCTTGTGAATGAACTTGCAAAGGATTATTTTTAAATGTCTTTTCGCCTTTCTATTGGGCCCTCGTCTCGCCGTAGACCACATTTTCGATCCAACGCGCTCGTTATATTTCCGAAATCAAATAAAAAGCGACAAGTACACGCAGTAAATGCACATTAGTTTAATTTCACATTACTATGCTAATTTTTTTTTCTTCTTTCTTTTTTTTTTTCCATCAGAAATAGGATTAGTTTAATTGAAGGGAATCAGGAAAAAAAAAAAAAAAAGAAAGTTTTGCCGGTGAAAAGAGAGTAGCTGCAAGTACAGCAGCATCAGGGGCAAAAGGAGGACAAGAAGTCGCAAAGGCCCGGGGCTGCGTGTTGGGGATGTAGTAGCTTCGGAATGGGGTATAATTTTCCGCGCCAATTAAGGTCTTTAAGAATTGCGACCAATCGAGCGGGAGGGTCAGAAAGAGCGAGGAGAGAAAGGTCGGGGCTCCGGGGGGAGTGCGATGTACCGTCAAGATGTTCTCCCCTATAATTTATTATTGATTAGATTGATTCGAAAAAGCGCCTTCTTTTCCCTTCCTCCTCTTCCTCCTCCTCCTCGTAGCGAACTTTCGACTTACTTCCTGACTGTGCGACGATCGAGTTTATCTCGTTCAAGCAGCCCCCCCCCCTACATCCGACACTTTGTGCCAACAGGACTTATACCGATCGTAAAAATTGATTATACATACTTAATTATGGGTAAATTTTTACCAACTCAACATGTTGAGTACAATTTTAGGTACGGTGAGTATACTTTTTAGTGACAAATACTTTGATGCATTATTTTTAATTGGCAATATATTTTTCCTGATCTACGTGTGAAACGCAAGATAAGAAAAGGTTACGATAACTTGTTTCAACTATGTTTTAAAAGTAATGAAATCTAGGTACTCTACGTGAAAACTTTTATTAGAACATTACTTGTAAGTCTTTAGTTAGTTGTGGATAGTAAGAAGGTAAGCTTTTGTGAAGGATTAATTAAAAATTAATTAATAAAATTTTTTTTNTTTTTTATATTGATATTTAACAATATCTTGTAAAAATGTAGACAACAATAGTACTGACATTACGAATAAAAAGCATTTTTCAAAAATATTTTCTTTTTTGGGATAAAATAAATAATTTTATCCAACCTTGTCAAAAGCTCATTTTCGTTTACCTGTTTATTTTAGAGAGCATGAAAGTACAATGATCAAAGATGCTAGTTGGGGAAAAAAAAAAAAAAAAAAAAAAAGATTTGTGACAAAAAGACCACAACAGCAAATAATGAAACGAGGCACCTGGTGGAAATAATGATGACGTGTCGATGATGATGATGCGCTGCATAGCATTTAATAGAGTTAAAATAATTCCGAACAATACCAGACAAGAGACAATGGGGTGAAAAAGAGAGCGAGGGAGGGAGGGAGGTAGAGAGATATATTATACGTGTGAAGCGAAGCGAAGTGAAGTGAGGCGAGGAAAGAAGGAGACGAAGAGTGTGTGCAGAGAAGGGGTCGGGCGGTATAATGTGTGTGGACTAGTACCTATAAATGGAGTTCGCACGAGCACCAGTTCCGAGTGACAACGAGCATGCACAAGTACACATAAAGTAGAGGCTCGGAGTCACTGATGGGATCGCGTGCGAAAATCCACATCGATAGGTACGCCGAATCCACACGAGTTGGGACGGCCCCAAGTGTTGCATACATATATATATATATATATATATATATATATATGTGTGTGTGTGTGTATAATGTAACTGGTACAACTGCTGCATGTGGGCAGGGCTATGGGCCATCATCGGGTCAAGTGAGGCGTATTTGACGCTCCTGTGGTTCACACCTAATTAAACCAGCACAGGAGTGAACTCTCGGAAACTTGCGCGCACGTGCGGCCGAACAATGCCGGCAGTCTTTAGCACCGATTGTCATGTAAAGCACACCCTGCCGCGGCTGCTATACTACTCCTGTATATATATATGCACCCATACCACACACGCCGTATACACTAAAGGCACCAGCAAACCAGACCAGCCAAATATTCTCCACGAACGCAACTTACTTACTTATACTTACTTATTGCAAGTACATTGTGCGCGCCTACGTGGCCTCGAGCGACTTCTCGGCATCCCCCTAGCTTTCCCATCATCCCGTCCCATTCGTCATTATGCATTTCTTACACTACCTTGTGGCCTTTTCTTTACTTTTCTAGACAATTTTATCCTCAAAAATCACAAGTTTCGCTCTCGTATATTGAATTTTAAAATTCAATCTTTCCACCAGAATGTTCATAATGGACAAAATAAGCTATCGAGTATTTTTTATGGGCAAGAACTTAATTTTTTTTTTTTTAATAAATACATGTATATAAAGAAAAACAGTTGTTTGCTCTTTAATAATTATTATAAATTATAATTATAAATTATAATTTAACCAAACCAAACAACTTATAACTGCATGCTTTTTTGCATTAAAAATGTATTGACATACATTCGTACGTCCTGAATCAAATGACATCAAATGTCCCAATGATTCTTGAATTACGTCATTAAAATATCATAAAACTACATGATATTCATGGCAGAGGGTTGCTAGTAAAATCGTACCGATTATTATAAAGTTAATGATTAAACTTTTTGGTAAAAAATGTCAACACTGTACATTAAATTTTTAATATAATTACGTATATATAAAACTAGCTCTAGTTGTGTGACGTATTTCAGAATCACAGAAATAAATTAATTTGTAACTTCAAATAAACATCGGTTGTTTCAATCATTAAAATACAGTGAGTACTGTTCTAAATCTATTTTAAAATTTACGATACAGATTTTTTTTGTTTATATTTTGGATAAATTTGCAAGCTGTAGAGTGAATCAAGTGTATTATTAAAATTTTTACGAGCCTGTGAAAGCAATGTATCAAATACACCAAATCAAATTAATGCTTTGCACTCTTGTGTCAATAATTAATGGAAAAAACAACCTACTCAATTCAATAGAGCGGGTTCAGTAGTTTGCAATTATTAATAGCTTTAGTTACTTTTTAAGCCAAAATAAACGTCACTACTTGTCACATTTTTTTTTTTAACAAATACGCTTTATCTACAACAAATACGAATGTTTTATTTGTAGAGTTTTACTTTTGATCAAGCAGATACGTATACGTGTAATTGATTTTAGCGAAACCAAAGCCAAAAAGTCTTTCATGAAACCAGATATACAGTATAAGCGAATAAAGCTCGCTCAGCAAGAAAGTGCCCCTCGAAAAGTAAGAGGGAGCAGAAAAATGAAACGAAAGTTGAAAAGGTACTCTCGGCAAAGAGCACACCCGGGAGGGCAATTTCTATATAAGAGAGCAAGAAAGCTCGAAAGTCCTTTCTCGAAGAAGAAGAAGTATAGAAGAGGAATATATGTATATATATATACACACACACACACGGGCAACAGTAGTGGCAAGCTCTCGGGCGCTGCAAGCTCTGCCACCGCGATTGGCGAGCAAGAGCATCTCGGCCGGCCGCCCGATTGGCTGTAGTGGGCGAGGCCAGCTCCACTTGCACGCTCCTCCCTCCCCTTGGGGCACGCTAGGCGCGATCATCTCTCGGCGCAAGAGAGCTTTTCCGTGCCATCACGGCTCGCTCCGAGGAGGCGCCAGCAGCCTGCACACGGGGGCCAAAGTACCGGACTCATTCGAAAAAGAAGATGATGCTCGCGGCGCAAGAGCGACACGAGCACACTTGAGCGAAGCACCATCGTGCACTCGGCCGCTCCCGCGATGCCCCAGTCGGCCACTGCTGTCCGCGGCACAACTTTTTGCTCTCCTCCTCTCCGCAGTCCTAGTCACACAGCCACATAGTAATAGCACGGTCAGTGGTAGTGCCAGTTGTTGTTTCTCACGTGGTCGCCGATTGTCATTGCCCCCCCGCGGTAAACAACGAACCATGAGCTCGGCGTTTACGGGCCCACCGACGGGCCCACGGTGAGGAGTAACGATAACCGATCGGAGCCGTACCCGGTGACGATGGAGGACGCGGTGCGGGCCGGCAGTAGCGTGTCGCCAAAGACGCAGAGCCAGCCCACGCCGTTCAGCATCGCGGACATACTGAGCAGCCGACAGGCCGACCCGCAGCGGCACGACGAACAGGTCCACCACCACCAGCAGCACCTCCTCCGGCTGCCCCAGGAGGAGCTGAGCGTGATCAAGGAGCTGGACGCGTTGCGCCGGAACCTCGCCCAGGCGAACCTCGCGGGCTTTCCGGGCCTGGCCCGCATCGAGCCGGCCACCTTCAAGCCGATCGACTTGAACGAGTTTGCGGCTGGTTTACACGGTAGGGCAAAGGCTGCCCAGCAGAGGCAACAGCAGGACGAGGCCCTGGACATGAGCAAAAGTAAATACCTCGGTGAGCGAGACTTTGTTTTTTTCTCCCTCCCTCTCTCTCTTCCCGCTTTTGTGATTTTTCCTCTGGCCAAAGCGAACATGAGAGGCAACCAGCACCTTTGCTCGTCTGCGCCGTTTCGAAGCGGGATGAGCGAGCGAATGAACGTTATTTTAGTAGCATAAGTGCCCACTTGACTCGGCAGACGTCACGAGTATACTTAAGCTTTACTACCGATGCCATACTTTCGAGCACTTGTTGGCCCCGTACTTGGCTATTACATACCTATATATGGCCCCGATCTGCAGACTCTGGGTTTCCCACTTACCCTTATCCGCTGCAGTGTGTATGTTATACCTATACACCCATCCTCGTTTGCCCCGATGCGATCGAGGCCTTTTAAATTTTACTCATTTAGCTCGTGTTTCTTTGGTCAATTATATTATACCTATACCCTCGGATCGTATTTATAGCCGATTTCGCGTCAATTCCTAACAAAATAAATATGTACTCGCAACTCCGTGTGCTATGAGGCTGCGGTGATCTCGAGTTACATTGGAAGGACAGAGTGGTTTCGAGCACGTCCACCCCACGAGCTTCCCGCGAGGGAGAATCAATCATGGCCCGATGGTGTGCAAACGTTGTCCAGTCGATATTAAGTACGAGCCGTCCGTTGCTTCTCGATATAATATATTATATAAATATATGTGCCATCATCGATTTTTTTGTTTTTCGAACTAATACTGCTCGGGTACAACGTTAGATTGAAAAGGAAAAAAAAAAAAAAAAAGGGTATCGGGGTAGGAGTAAAAAAAAAAGGAGGTGTAAAATCGATCGAGAGGAAAAAAAAAACAGGTGAAAAGATGTATACGGGTAAAGGTGTTACAATGGGCGAAATGGAAGCCCCCAATTAACTAATGCGTTGTTACCATCAATCTACTTGTAGCGCCCGCGTACAGCCGCGAAAGAGCTTCGTGAAACGACTTTGGCACGAATTCAAAACTGCGTATCGGGTATACTCGGAATATTGCCAGTAGTCCCCTCCCCCTTTTTTTTCCTACACATTGTATACCTACTCGTAGTGGAAAAAGGAATCCCTTCCATAATTGAGCTTAACTCCTGTGACTTGCCCGAGATTCAATAAGACGTTATCATTTTGCTGTTTGACTTTACTTCGTACACACGAATTATTGTTATTATTTCAATTTTCACCGATTCCCCCAAAACTAATGGGAAACCCGATACTCTTCTTATGCCCTTCAAGTGAAATCATGACACCAAACATCTGAGGACAGATCCAAGTGGATATCCATCATCATCGCGTATTATCGAAACGGTTATACTTTCTATTCCCTTCCGAATAACGAGCGACCAGAGCCGGTCCGCAATTTCGGCGGGCGAACTAGATGCCGCTTCGAAAATAGTAGCTTTATTTTTAATGGCACTTGGAGCGCGTATAGGAAGCAGCACCGGGACGGGATGAATGGGAATAGATAGCGAGTGCGTGGGCAACGGCAGCGCTAAACAGACGAAACCGGCGCGGATTTCGCGAGCCTCTCATTCGATTTTACGAAACTCACTTGCACCAAGAGAGAGAGAGAGAGAGAGAGAGAGGGGGAGAGAAGAGTAACGCCTTTATTTCGCCCGAGCGAGCGTACAATGTGACGTACAGCAGTATAATATATAGTGGTGGTAGCAGCCATGTGCACTCGAGCATCAGGTTAAACCAAGGGGGGGAATTACCGAGTAGCCGAGGGTAAACAAATTGGAGTAGTGACTCGTCGCCGCCGGCACGTGTTAATGTTTGAACGGGACGCACATCACATGAAAAGCCAAAGAAACGCCACCCACATTACACATATATATGTATGTATGTATAAATGTATACACGCGCAAGGATCATCCACGTAAAAAATAATCATTTACCAGAATGCACTTCCGGACAAGCGCACCGGACCACACGCTTTGATAATGGCCCTCCATGAAATAATAAATCAGTACATTGTATGATTCCAGACGACCTGGACGACGAGGAGCTGTACGAGGCGCACTGCCACGAGCGCAGCCTCACGGGGGGTAGGAAGAAGCGCAGCAGGGCAGCTTTCTCGCACGCCCAGGTGTACGAGCTCGAAAGGAGGTTCGCGACGCAAAAGTACCTCTCGGGGCCGGAGCGCGCGGACCTGGCGCGCGGCCTCAAGCTCACCGAGACCCAGGTCAAGATATGGTTTCAGAACAGACGGTAAGCCAAACTCGCCGCCCGGCTGTCGAGTGCACGATTAATAGGGTCTCGTGGTCCGCAGGTACAAGACGAAGCGGCGCCAACAGCAGGAGCTGGGGGCATTGGTGGGCTCGGGTGCGGCTAGGAGGGTGGCGGTGAGGGTGCTCGTTCACCCGGACGAACAGCTAAGGGGTCCCGTGGCTGCTGTCCCGATGGCCACGTCCAGTGGGCCCAACGTTGGGGGGGCCACGGCTTCGGTGCATCAGTTGCCGGGGACAGGCAAGCCGGGCCTCGCCGTCGCTGGTTTTCCTTACTACTGCCTGCCGTATCATCCCCTGCTCTGCGCCCCGGCGGCCCTGCACCAACAGCAGACCCCACCGCAACAGCAGCTCTCCGTCGACGGCTTGCCTTGCGGCCACGACAAGCGGCTTTAAAGTATTCCCCAGGACCCATGAGTTTCATTGACCGTAGACACGACTATCCTGCGCTCAACTCCATGGGTATACGTATCAAGTATGTACTTCCAAACTGTACCATTGACTTTAAATGAGCGCGTCACATCACTCTTGTATATTAGCTTGTAAATAAATGTATAGACTACATTATACATGTACACATTATCATCCGCACCAATGATAGCAATGATTGATAATAGTAATAATAATAATAATAAAAATAGTGGTATACCTACTCGTCAATATAATAATTATAATAATAATAATAATAATATGTTTATGTAACAAAGTCACATGAAGAAATAAATATAATAAACACATACCCACGAAAATATATTATAGTCACACGAGTCTCGCATGTATTTCCTTCCTTTTGTTTTTCTTTCTCCCGATCGTCGTATAAACTACAGCTTTGTTATTATACGATATGCCCGAAAGTCGGGGAGTAAATGCATAATACAACGAGTGCAGTTCAACTTTATCCTTTATTCGTGTACTTAAAACGCCGAATATGCTGGAAAACGTGTGCACGGGAAAATAAACAGAGAGCATATGAAAGGGGTGGAGGTCCTCCCGAGGTGAGGATTATGGATTCGAAGAGCGGCGCTCGCAAGAGGGAGGGCTCTCGTAACCTTTTTTTTTTTTTTTTTTTTTTTATGTCGTTACGTTACAAGTGTCTTTACGGCGCTCGCAGCACGGGTGGCCTCTCGGTCACTTTCGTCGTCGAGATACGTGTTTATTCAGACCCGCTGGAGACGACATGTATCGCCATACGTGGAGGTACTTTGGACTCTGGGGTATAGCGTATACCTACTAAAAAAAAAAGGGGGGGGGGGGCAAACGTGAAAAGCCAACCGAGATCCGACACTTTTCGTCTTATATGCGTTAAAGCTCATCCGAGCTTCATCATTGCAATAGGTCGTTTGTAAATGCCGTGCATGGGTAATGGATTATCCTCGAGTAAGTCGTCGTACCTATTTCTTTCGGATTTTCACATAATGAGTACATTAATAATTTTTACGCGAAAGCTCGCTGATCATTTTTCAACTACAACCAATGTAATTTAATTTTTTCATCCATCTACAGTAAGCAGTATATGATGGAAAATAGGGGCTCGGATCACTTTTTGCAAATGTACGTGCCGATACTTATTTGGACGTGTCGAGTGCAAGTAACGTGTAAAGTAAGAATTCGAGACAAGAGCGTTGCACACGAGGCTCCACGTAACTATATGCCTACCTACATTTTTTTACTCTCATTTGAGAAGCGGATGGAGAAAAAGTTTACGGCCGCTTCTGCAGTCCATTACCGTTTTGTTTACAACAATTTGTAAACACGCCGATGACGACGTAATGCTGCGCCCCCCCCCCCCTATTTCTCTCTTCCTCTCTTGCGAGGCCGTAATCTCGCCGAGCAGATATACTACTCTAAACACATCACGTCTCTGCACCAAAGCTGCTTCTGCGCGAGATCTTTGGAAAAGACGACGGCGAACGACGACTTAATGACTTGCGGCTTTTTGTATTTCGCATTTCTGTGGCGATCGGCGCGAGAGAAGGGGAGGGGACTCGCACTCTTTTCGAAGCTCTATAAATACGTATATCGGTTTCGCTTTCTTTTTTCTTTCTTTCCGTGCAAACCACCGTCTCCATTTAAATTTGTCCAAACAATCGATCTATTTCGGAAATTTTCAAGCTTCCACGCTTCCACTGCTTTATTTCGAGGCAGTGAAAAAAAAAAAAAAAAAAGGGAAAAGGAAAATCCTTCCGGGATCCTTGTTCCTCAATTATAATTTCAAATCCACGTGCTGTTGATTCGCGCCGATTGTCGCAGCCCTGAACATGTACGTCGGGCGAAGCCCACTTTTTTTTATTTCCACGACCGGAAATGGCTCGTGCAGTAATCGGTAATCGGCGCAAAAAGAATACGCGCGTCTCTCGTCCGTGACTTTTTTTCTTCTCTTTCCCCCGATACCACGGCTCGAATCAAACGAAAAACGCTTTCTTTTTTTTTTTTTTATTCATATTGACAATGAAGCCCGAGGAGGCTCGGACGCTGCTTTTGAGGCTCCTGAAAATTTGATTTTCTAAAGTGTTAACTACGAAAACGAAATTAAACGGGGGCAGACGTGTAAGGGGATGAGGAAAAAAAAGAGGTGATGAGAAAGCGGTGCGCGTTAAATGGAAACAAGAATAGGGGGGGGGGGAAAGAAGGAGGAGGATGAGAGCAGGGGAGCGGGTGGCTGCTGAGCCATTAACAGTTAATGAAAATTAGCTTCTGTCACCTGATTGAGCGACGAATCGTTCCTTTCTTCCTACCCGTCGCGTCCGGGCTCGGGAATGAGGGAAGGAGAGGTCGGGGGGGTAGCGATCGGCTCCATCGTACTCAAAAGTTTTGTCGTTTTTGTGTGCAGGACAGCCTTAGTCGTCGGCTCCAATTTGCTCGAAATCAAAAGGATTACAGGCTTACCCGATTACCAGGGCTTCAAAAACTATCAAATCATTTCGGCGGACCTTCTTTTTCCCTCATCAAGTGCCGACTGGGCAAACTTGAATTTTCAAGATATTTCACTTTATTGGTACCCATGAAAAAAATAGTTGTGACGATGATAATTGTGCACATACGTTGTGCCGAAAAATCAAGAGTCGCGTCGCGTTTGAGCTCCTCAGTAGTCCATGTCACGCTGCTTGGTCTCCTAGGCAACGCCTCCAATTCAAGTGCGCGTTAAAGGTCGCGAGTAAGTAAGAGCTACGCGAGGAAGAGAGAGAAAAAAAAAGGTAGAAGGAGACGGAGTAGGTACGTACACGAATGGGATGGAAGAGTTGCCGCGAAGAAAATCTCAAACTTCGAGGGAGGTGGTAATTTGTCCTCCTCCTCGATTTGTCGATAGTCGCAATGATGATGCTCGTACGAAACCACGTTCACTCCAACACAACTCGCCGCTGCATAAAAATATCGTAAAAACTGCAAATTATTTTTGATAAATTTAGCTTTTTTTTCCAAGTCACCAACAAACAAACGCACGCTAATCGCAGAATAAAAAAAAGGACGAGCGCGTCCATCCGGCTTTTCAAAGAGGAAATTTATCGATATTTTCACGGTGCCGCATCGACGAGAAAATTGGTCCAACGACCGGCCAATCAGCGGTACTTCATACACACATAAAGAGCAAGGGACACGCGCGCTTTACTTTTCCGGATGGAGGGAATTCTTTCTTCTCTCCGAAGCATCTTTCGCTCTCTTTTCGCTATATGCGTTATACCTACACGTTCGCCGCGCAAAGCAGCCTTTTGGCCTTTGAGGAGTCGACAATTCGATCACCCATCCTCCTCGTTACAAATAATTTTTGTGGATTTCGAGGGATTTTTGAAACAAAGTGACGGGCACTGATGCGGGACATATTGTCTTTGGTGCGCCAACATAATCGCGTGTGTGGCGATTGAAGCAAATTATGAATCAATCGGAGCGCGTATATAGGCGCAATAAAATGGCAATTGGAAGCAAAACAAGGAGGAGTAGGCAATACATATCTGGGGCTATTTATAGGCTTCAAATTGCCGGGTACAGAGGCTGCATTGGTATGTGGTACATGTATACGCGTGTGCGTGTATGGCTGGCTGTTTTAACCGTCCATATTGGAAAAATAAACGGGCCACGACGGGAGCAGATGACTACAACTATGTACACTTTTACTATTATTATGTTATGAGTATAGGTACAGGAGGCTCTGCTACTGCTGATGCTGCTCTCTCAGGGGGTTGAAAAGCATCGTGAATGTCAGCCGAGTGACAGCCGCCCGTAACGATTGTTTTTTAATTTACACGAAGCCTTTTGCTCCCATTTCTCGATACACGCGCACTCCGTTTGTCCCTCCGTGTATACCCTATCGCTCGTTTTATTGCTCGACGTTTCCGCTAGAGCTCAACAAGCTGGTTTTACTCTTCAGAACTGCTTATGTGCTTACTCGTTCGATTTATCATTGTATCCCGTTCGGTAGTAGATTTCAACAAATTTTTCTATTTCCAAACGATGGGTGCACGGGGTACCTACTTGACACCCTCTGATATTGACAATGGTACCGTGAGTCGATCTTGACAGCGATGACATTACCATGCAATCGGTATAATATATATGTGCTGTGGATTTTTTTTCTTCATATTTCAACCAGTATACATATACAGGTATTTCAATAAAAAGCGACAAGAATTATAAAATGGGTCAAGATAAGGTGTGATTGACAACTAACTTCAAGTTGTTAAGTAAAACTGTTGATGAAAAAAAAAGATGATCGATAATCAGTATACAATTGGTTGATAAAATTTAACATTTAGGAAGACATTGGGCATATTTGTTTAAACAATCCCACCTTTGTGTGTTCAACAACACCGATCAATCTCACCAACAGCTAGTACGAGCAGTTGGTAAGAAGGACATTTTAAGGAGCACACGTCGGTATACCACCAACAGCTAGTGTTCCTACGGGCAGCATCCTTTCTCGGGCCTCCGGCAGGTGGCGCTGATAGTCACAGCGAGCGGCTAAATGTGCAGAACGACTGTATTGATGGTTACCAAGTCCACGTTATTGATCAGCGGACTGAAGCATTAAATTGAATTCTCGTTGTTATGCGTAATTGATTCGTACGCTTGAGTATATAATACGTATCGTGGAAAATGTCTTTCGTTGCACCTGCGGGAAACTTTTGTTTTCTCCCATTGACAGAATTAAATAAATGTTAAACAAAAAAAAACAAAAAAAAAAAAAACCTCGAAAACCCACAAACGAACGGACTAGCGTGAGATTTATTTGTTTTTTTGTTCCTCGTCGGCGCAACAAATTGCAGCGCACACCGTCTCCCCGGCGGTGACAATGGAACGACAATGCCATGAATGCCGGATGACTGTACATAATTTGCAAAAATGACGAGTTTGTCGAGTTAAATGCAAAGAGTCGACTGATTAGCCGGGAGTCTCTGTTGTGC